GTACTGGCCTCATAAAGTTAAGGTCATGATTAAATTAGCCTTTATTTCTAAAGCACAATAAGAAGTTAAATTGTAGACATGTTCAATATTACATGCTATGAGTGCTAATCTGGTGGAGTTGTTTGGTAGCAGTTGAAAATCAAGAGGAAAGTGAATTTCAAGGAACAGAAGTGAGAACTAGAGATACAGATTTGAGAAACTTTCATGGAGATGGTAATAAATGAACTGAGTTCCAAAATAAAAACCTAGAGCTACAAAGAGAAGGTAATAGGGCCAAGGAGAGAAACTGGTAGTAGTAGGTAAAACTAGAAAAAAGGCACCTAGCCCAGTAATAAGTGAACGAGTTCAGGGCTGGTTCAGGGTTAAAGAGGGGAAAATTGATATTGTTAAATGCTGTGAGAGGTCAAAAGCAAGCCCACTGAATTTGGTGACTTTTGAAACCTTTAGGTTACTCATTATTGACCTCAGTAATTTTCATACAGCAATGGAGACAACAGAATGCAAAGATTAAAGAGTAAACACAGATACTTGTGGTTTATGGTCTGACATGTAAAGGCTGGAAAGAGATCCATCCAGCACTCACGAGAAAAAGCTTAGCAAACTGAAAACCAATGGGTCTTCTCAGACCCATCAGAGAACTGAGGTTACATGCAAACCCCTGTACTGAAAGAGATGGAGGAATAACAGAATCACAACTTACTGAAACTGCCACCAGAGCTAACAAGTGGAAGGAAAACCTAACAGGCAATAGCCTAATTGCTGAAAAATGAGTGTAGACTAATTCAAAAGAGAAAAAATTGCTGGGGGCCTAGCCTTAGGGAGGCCCCCACACTTTTATCAAGTTGTACCTTCAGGAGCTCCATCAAGCTCCCAGGATGAAGGTCAGAGTAAAATTCCCTGATAGTTTCAGCAGGGGAACAGGAAGTAACCATTCTGAAATATAAATAGAATGTTCACTCTTAACAAAGGCCTGCCCTCAAGGAAAACCATTTTACCAGAGCCTAAGCAACATGGGGAAAGGGAAATACCTTATTTTAAGTAAACTTCTGGTTCCACCTAAAAAAAAAAAAAAATTCTGAGAATTACTTATGAAGGTCATGACCCAGGGGAAAAGGCCCACTAAAAGATTAAGACCTAATCATAGGATTAAGGCACACTTCTCTCTGCCTTCCCATTCTCACCCAGCACATTTTACCACATCAACAGGGCTCCTGTATAATAACAGGGGATTACAATGGGAAGAACTGCAAGGTTCAGACTAAGCAGGAGTCTCTAGGGAAAGCTAAAAACCAGAGAAGACAAAAAAAACCAGGACACTAGAGAAAACTGAAGTCTCGGGAACCTACAGCTACAGTAAACAGCCTGATTCCTAAGCAAATAAACATAAAACTTCACACTAAGTGCTTACTTATCTCAGTTCATATTACCTGATGCAACATGTTTAGCTTTCAACAAAATACATGGCATACCAAAAGGCATAAAAAAGTCTGAAGAAACAAGCATTAGAGTCACAACAGATATGACAGAGATTTTGGAATTGTTAAGACTGGGAATTTAAAATAATTATGATTAATGTGCTAAAGATCCTAAAGCAAAAAGTGAATAACACACAAGAACAGATAAAAACTACTCTCCCCCTCACCCACCCAAATCAAAAGGAAATGAATAGATAAACTGGGCAAAGAAGTGAGATAAAAGCATTGAAGAAAGCACTAGTGCTTTTTTTTCACTACAGTGGAAGATTGTCCAATACAGCCAACCCCCAAACTATGATTTTTCGACTTTACAATGTTGTGAAGGTAATACATGCTCATTAGAAATCCTACTTCGAATTTCTTTTCCTGGGCCAACAATATAAAATGCTACTCCCACAGCTCCCAGTCAATCGTGCAATCACAAGGGGAGGCAACAAATAGACTGAAGTAACGTAGCACATGTGCCCATGATGTTTGGTAGGCTCAGTGTATTAAGTCCATTTTCTATTTAATGATATTTTCAACTTAAGATGGGTTTACTGGGACATAACCTCATGGTAAGCTGAGGAAAATCTATATTATTAAGCCAATAGGAAAGACCCAATATAGGAAACACTGGAGTGGGAAAGTGAAAAATAGATAAATACATGTTTCATGAGATCCTTTCTTAGATCAGTATTAAATCCTAAACTTAGAAAGATGAGAAATAATATATTAGGTCAAACCAATGGTTGCAAACTTTATTATGTAAGAAATTTTGTTTTTAATTAGATAATACAGCTACCTGAAAAAGTGAAGGTTATGCTACTTCCTACCTCCCACCCCAGTTCAGTTCAGTCACTCAGTCATGTCTGACTCTTTGTGACCCCATGGATTGCAGCACGCCAGGCTTCCCTGTCCATCAACTCCCAGAGCTTGCTCAAACTCATGTTCATCGACTCAAGTCAGTGTCCATCTCCCACCCTCCTCATTTCTGAATAGGTAATCTCCCATGAATGTGTCATTGTTTAAGAAATCCCCAAGGGAATTTTTCTAACACTCTCTCAGGTACTATGAGAGTTTTATGACTTTTTAAGAATTTACATGAGATCGACTTAATTTTACTTTGAGATTTCCAGACCAACAAGTAAAAAAAAAACAGACAAGATGACCAGTAACCAATGTTACTAAAGTATATATTACACTCATTTGTTTGCTGCCAGCAAATATTTATTATCTTCAGTCTAAGCAACAGCAGTGAACAAAACAAAAACCTCTGCCTTCATGGAGTACATCATAGCTTGGATGAAAACAGATTAACAAAAAAGTATATAATATACCAAACAGAATAAACTTTTTGAAGAACAATAAAGCAAGCTGAGGAACTGGAAGCATTGGGAAGAGTACATTATTTTATGTTGGGTAGTTAGAGAAGGACTCCTTGATAAGGTGACAGCTGAAGAAAACAAATAAATTATGAAATGACTAAGGGTACAATATTCCAAAGAACAGCAAATGCTGAGGTCCTGAAGTGGGAAAAGGTGTTTGATATTGTTGTGGAACAATACAGAGTATAACTAGCCAAGGGGAAGAGTCCAAGGTGAGATCCTGCGTGGCCTACAGAAGATGAGCTATTATTCTGAGGGAAATGGGAAGAATCGGGAAACTTTTGAGAAGAGCCACAGTGCTTACTATGTTGAATGAAGGTGACGGTAAAGAGACCATTTAGGAGTTTACTGCAATGTGACAGTTACTGACACTGGAGTGATAGTCTGGACTTATTTTGCAGGCAGAGATGGTAGAAACTACTGGTGGATGGGGGTATTGAGATGTCAAAGGTAAACTAAGGTCTTTTTACTGAGTAAGTGGAAGAATGGAAATTGTCATTTACTGAAAAGGGAGACTGCAGATTTGATTAGAGGGGGAAATAAGTTCAGTTTTAAATATGAATTTTGAGATGAGATGCCCATTAACTTCTAAGTGCAGCTATCTGATTTTAAGCCTGTTTTCTTGGGAGAGGTATTGGCTGGAGAGAGAAACTTGTAAACTGTGAGCACATGGATAATTTTTAAAGGCAAAAAACAAGGGTGAAGAGAAAAGGTTGTAAGACCGACCGATCCCATCAACACTCCAATATTTAGATATGCGAGAGACTGAAGACCTAACAGCAAAGTATTTTGAAAAGCAGCAGGCATAAAGCACGCAGAAGGCAATGGACCCCACGCCAGTCCTCTCGCCTGGAAAATCCCATGGACGGAGGAGCCTGGTAGGCTGCAGTCCATGGGGTCACTAAGAGTCGGACACGACTGAGAGACTTCACTTTCACTTTTCACTTTCATGCATTGGAGAAGGAAATGACACCCCACTCCAGTACTCTCACCTGGAAAATCCCAGGGACGGGGGAGCAGGGTAGGCTGCCGTCTATGGGGTCGCACAGAGTCGGACACGACTGAAGCGACTTAGCAGCACCAGCAGGCATAAAGCAAGAGGAGAATTAGGAGACAGTGGTGTCCCAGAAACCAAATGAAGTGATTCAAAACTCAGGAACTGGTAAATTAGATCAAAGCTGCTGATGGCTGAGTTAAGAAACAGAAATGGCCATTACACTTGGCTGGACAGTTATTGCTGACCTTCACACAAGCTGTTTTTAGTGGAGTGGTAGGATAGACAAACCTTGGTGGCTCAGATGGTAAAGACTCTGCCTGCAGTGAAGACCTGGGTTTGATCCCTGGGTGGGGGAAGATCCCCTAAAGAAGGGAACGGCTACCCACTCCAGTATTCTTGCGTGTAGAATTCCACTGGAGAGAGGAGCCTGGATGCTACAGCCCATAGGATGGTGAAGAGTCGGACACGACTGAGTAACTAACACTTTCATGTTTCAGGATGGACAAAAACCTGAGTACCATACCCAAGACAAAAAAGAAGCTTCTCTCCCAACACCTTTCAAACAAGTTCTGCTCAAGAAAGATTAGCTGAGCTGGACGAGATTGCAGAGGGGAGATGCTGAGGGTTTGAGGAGAACAAAAGTGATCTGGAAGTGTGGGAGAATGTATCAATTAGGAAATTTTAGTGGAATAGATAGACTAAGGGACTATTTGAAGTTTTAAGCGAGACAACTGTAAAGCTGTGGGCTTCTGTCCAGCCCTTAATCCAACTGCTCAGAACAACAGAAGGTTGTAAGCTGGAATGAGTTTTAAGGCAGGATGGTATGAGAAGGCGTAAAAAAAACCTCGACTACAGAGCATAGTAATGTTCAGTCTGGTGGCTCACAGAAGCTGAGAGATTGAACATCTGGGTACAGCTTGAAGGCAAGTTGGAGAGAAATAAACCACCACACCGGGAGTGCCAGGACGAATGGTGGTTCTAAACAAACTAGGTATTTTCCCCAAAAGAGGTTTGGAAAAGGCTGTACTATGCCAAGGGGGGACACATCGCCACCTCGGAGGTTACAAGGTTGCTGACTCAACACAGATGAAGAGGTAAGTTCTAAAAGGGTTCCCTCCGGGAACCAAGGGAATGGACTCAAGTTTCAGCGTCCGAACTTACACCCCGACGCTCGGCTGCCTGCGGCCGTTTACTGGAGAGATGGGCATGGTGGCGACTGGCTGGGGAATGGTCAACCGCCTTTTTCCCTCGCTGCTTCTGAAGCCCCTGTACCCCAAAGCCGGCGTTAGCGGCTCTGGCGAAGGCACGGGAATGTTTGCCGGGCGTCATGGAGACGGTGGAGCCCTGGCTCAACAAGCGGCCGCGCGGTTGGCTGGCGACTGGAGGCCGAGGAGGAGGGAGGAGGCGGAGGGGAGGGCAGAGGGTTGGTGGAGCAGGAGGAAGCTCCGGACGACGACTAGAAGAAGGAGGCGGGCGGCCCGGGCCTCAGGCCCCTCCCAGGCTCTGAGTCTCCCGGGCTGCAGGCGGATGGATGGGGCTTCTTCAGGCGGTGGCGGCAGCAGCGGAGGTGGCGGCGGCGGCAGCACCAGCGGCTGTAAGTGCAGCCTCCATAAACCATCTCTCCTCTCCTAGTCCTGTTCGGGATGAGGGGCTACCGAGGTGTCCTCGGTCTCCTTTCTCTCCTTCCCCTCCCCCACCGCAGAGTACCGCCCGGAAGACCCTTCACTTCCGGGGAGGGGCTAAGAGAGCGCGCCCGGCGGGCTGCCCCTCCCGGAGTGGCGCCGGCCACCCAAGGCGCATGCGCAGCCCCTCTCCACCGCCCACCCCTGCCCAACTGGGTCTTTTGCTTTGGCGTTGGCGGCGGCGCGTTGGGAATCCGCTGCGGAGTGAGTTCGCCTCGCCCTGTCCGCTTCCGCCCCTTGCTCCAGTCGGCCCAGGAACCGGGTCGGCCGCTGTGGCCCCGCCTCTTTCGCGCTGTATCTCCGGGTCTTGTCTCAGCCCAGGGAGACTCCTGCTCCCACTGCATCCCTGGTGGTGAGCAGGGTCCTGGGCAAAGCAGCCCTTTTCGGAGGGAGTAAGGGAGGGAGGAGAGGCCCGAAGAGGGCATTGTTGTGAGGGAAAGAGGTCCTCGCAGGCCGTGGGAGGATCCCTGGGGACAGATGCCTCCCCCAACTTTGAATGGCCTTGTTCTTTCAGCTTTTGGTGGAAAGATCTCTGGCCTGGAACCCATCTCTAGTCCTCGTTTTGCTGTGTGACCTTGGGCGAGTCACTACTTCTCTCTGGGCCCCAGTTATCCCTAAAACTTCCTCCAACACTAAAACTCTTTAATTTTGCAGAAAAGCTTATGCAGTTACAAGACTGGCCGATCTACTGAGGCCGCTTAGCTGAGGTGACCCGGACTTGAGTGAACCTTTCTTCAGTCATGGGTGGAATGAGGCGACCTATTTATTGAGTGACTTTTATTCCTTTATCATCAGTTGCAAATTGCATGACTCAAGGCTCATTAATGTTTTTCTAAAATTATAATGGGATTCCTGTCCTAATTCCTGGCTGTCTTTAAAAATTAGAGATGGGGTGAATACTGAGCTTGTAAGATCATCGTCTCCAGTCTCGTTACTACTGAGGCTCTCTTTCCTTTGATCCAGATGGTGTGGTGGCTCGATTCTCCCAGTGCCTGGCTGAGTTTCGGACGTGGTTAAGAACCAACTGGTTGAGGTTCAATGCAGACAAGACGGATGTGATGCTGGTAGGCAGGGGCACACTTGGAGATTAAGGGAGGGAAAGTCCAAACTCCCTCAAGTATATAAATGTTATATTACTCTTCCAGTGTTTGAGAACGGTTGATGGGCCAATAATTTCCAGAGTTTGGATGAGATTAAAAAATCATGTCAACGATATTATTAAAATACCAGTTTGTGATAATCTGATAAAATGGAGCCACTGGATAAAACTGTATGTAAAAATTACGAAAAGGAAAACCAGAACTGTTCTTTGCAGAACCAAAAGGCTATATACGTGTTTTGGGGTGGCGTTAATAAAAATCAAACCGAGAAAAAGATGATGCTAATTGTCGCATGGATGTGGGACTTCCAATGTAATGCATTAATGCTTTGTAATTTACATGCTGCCTGCTACAGTAAAGGTAAAACTCTCAATTTATCTAAAATGTCATTTTCAAAAATAGGTGAAGTTTTTGACATTTAGGTGTTCTCCATCGAATTAGTAGTTACCCATAAATTTTTACCTGCACATCATGTGCAAGCTGTCACTTTTAAATAAAAATTTAAGGAAATAGTCTCAAAAGGGACTCTGAAAATTGTTAGATACAGAATTTGGTTTTAGGGTTTTGAATGTACTGTATTAATCTATTTCATTCAAACAGCCCCAGAGTCTAAATTGTTGCAAATTATTTTCTTGATGCATTTTGAGAGGTACTTTTTTGAATTGCATAACATGTATATATAGTATTCCTTATATCTGAATCAGGTATTGGTCCTGAATAAAAGGATATATTTCTTAGGTACATGTAAACTGCCAGGTTTATTTATTGATTAGTTTGGTGTACTGGTTGAAGAAAAATTGAGACTTTAAAATGCTTTTGTTAAAAGCAAAATAATAACTTTGAAGGGTTTGTGTGTGTGTATGTGTGTGTATTGCAGCCTCTATAAAATTGTTAAATAACTTTTTAAATAGAATATGCAGTAAATTGCTTAAAAATAGTTTCCCAATATAATAGCAGTTTTGAATAACTTTAATATGGTAAAAGTTAATGTAAGTTTGCCTGAACATAAGGAAGCCTTTAGGAGGGGAATGGGAGCTAAAGAGGCATTTATTCAGGCTTTGTAGTGATTTTTTTTGTTTTGGGACATTAGCCACAAATCTCACATATAATTAGAATTAACCACACCTTTTTGCTTAACTGTAAACATTTTACAGAACTACCTAACAGAATTCTAACAGAACTACCATTTTGGATATCACAATAATAAGGACTATAAACTATAATAATTTTAAACAGCTCATATGTAATGGTGAATTTTCTCATGCCTTCAACTCTGTAATGTCCCCTTTCAGCTCCTCTAGTATCAGTAGTCTTTAAAGATTTATTTTTTGTTAACCCAAGTATAAATGTTGAGTGTTTGTATTTGGATACAAAGAAGATATCTGTTGAATTAATCCAAAGTGCTGAAGAACTCAGGGTAAGGGGTGACAGTAACAAGGAGGTAGACTCTGGTTTGATAAAAAGAAGAATGTTCTAAACGTTAGAGGTTTTTTAGGAGAAGAACAGCCTTTTAATGAGACATTGAGTACACTGGAGGTGTTTAAGCATAGGCAGGAAAGCCTGGTAGTGGGGAAAAAGAATGAGGGATTCCTACCTAGACAGTTTAGAAATTGACTGAAGACCTCTAAGGTCGCATCCAACATTAGGATTCTGTGACTAATGAATAGTTACTTTGTACATATTTGACACTGAAGAGGTATACAAGAGTTTTGAGAAAGACTTTGCATTCTTTAAGACCCACGTTCCATCCCGGGTTGGGAAGATCCCCTGGAGAAGGAAATGGTAACCCACTCCAGTACTCTTGCCTGGAGAATCCCATGGACAGAGGAGCCTGGCAGGCTACAGTCCAGGGGTCGCAAAGAGTTGGACACGACTGAGCGACTAACACATGACATGATGACATGACAAGATGGCTCCTCATTTTTCTTTAAGCATTTTATTTTATTTTTTGGCCACGTGGTACTGCATGCACGTCCTTAGTTACCCAACAAGGGATTGAACCCATGCCCTCGGCATTGGGAGCATGGAGTCTTGACCGCTGGGCTGCTAGCTAGGGAAGTCCCTCCTAAAAACTTTAAAGATAAGTATATCACTAGAGTAAGATAGAAGGTGGGTAAAACTATACTGAATTCAATATGTGAACAATGACTTACAACATTGGAGCTGTTTCTCTTTTCCTTTAGAATATCTGAATCAAAAAAAAATAATTTAATCCACATTTACAAAAATGTAGAGGGAATTTTTTTTCTTTAAATGATAATGCCACTTAAAAACAGTAAAATTGATGCACAGTATTAATAAACTTGAAGTCATTTATCAGTGAGATGGATACCCATTCAAGTATGTCCTAGATTCGATATTCTTGACAATTTCAGAATTCATTCAGTAGCTTAAGGGACTGTGAGCCCCAGCTCTTTATCACAATCAGGATTCTTACTGATAACTGAAGAATCGGAGATTCTTCAAGCAAATTATTCCTGTGCCTTGCATTTTGACAATAATGTTTAATCTTCCTTTTGATAACCAGGTAAATTTCAAATATTAGCTTTCCCATTTAAATGGATAATTCTCCTTTAATCTAGTTGTTTTATAAAGCCTGAGTGTCTACCTCTAGGCCCCTTATTCTTATCTTCACCCACCTCAGTTCTATGCACATCCATTGTTCTTTGCCTTCACAGCTGTTTCCATCAAGCATCTCAAAGTGAAAAGTGTTGCACTAGGAACTGACTTATAAAAAAAAACAAAAAAAAAAAGTCATTTCTGTTTCAAATCAGAAGGACTAAGGTAATTCAACAGGGTAACTCTTAGAAACTATATACTTATGCTAAAATATTTATTCCCCCAAGGAATCCTGAAAAACACTTCTATATAAGTATTCTAAAAAATAAAGTGAAAATACTGTACAGTACAGTTAATGGTAAAAATTGTTTGTAGATTTGGGAACCTTAAAGTTTTCCTTTCTCTTCTTTCCCTTGCTTTTCTTTCAGTAGAAAATGTGCATCAGATGTTTATGTTTAATTGGTTTACAGACTGTCTGTGGACTCTTTTCCTGTCATATTACCAGGTAATGTCCTTTCACTTAGCAGCTACTTCATATACCTATAAATGCACAAAATATTCATGCACAAATTATTATTGGACATAAGAATTTCAAGTTAAATGTTGAATCTTTGAAAGAAGAAACTACTTAATAGAATCTAGAATTTTAAGGGAATACAAATAATCTGTAACAGTCTTCCCCATATTTCATTGTATCGGTTTAAAGAAAAATTGTATACGTGCATATTTATGTAATATATTGTGCTGGCAAAGCATTATTCGGAGGGTACAAATAAGTTTCATATTTAATTGATTTGGAAGTCATTTTTGAAATTGTATTAAGAAGAACCCTTTAACGTTTGGGGGAAAACGGTATTTATGAAATAAGACTTTCTAACTTCTGGTTTGGTAAAATGTGTTAGTACACGTTTTAATATCATGTTTGCATTACCCAGTATCTGCCATAGTAATGGAAGTGAAACACGTTTGTTATTTTGCAATCATTGGCTCTGGCAATCATCAGAATTGGCACTAAAGCCAGTTTGCAGTTGTCGGCCAATACAATAAACTTTTAATTTAAGGCATTGCCCGTAAGCAAATTCTCCACCTATACAGTCGAATTGGAGATTATATCTATTAAAGAGCAGCTTTTCAGTATTTCACATTTAGAAATTTTCTCTAGTGCAGAACCATTGCACAGTTATGTTAATACTGGCATTGCAGAAGGTGTGTAAGGAAAAGCAAATGGTACATGAGAATGGCAGTCTACCCAGTACAGTCCCTTTTCTTAATCCCTGCTGTGACCTGTAAAATTTTGTTACATGGGATTTTACAATTTCTGTCGGGAAAGAGCCAAGAGAAGTATCCGCCAAGGGATAACCGCTTTCAAAGCGCGCTGCTTGCCGTTGTTGCAATCACAGCAGCATCCGTTTTTCCAACAAATGGGACTTCAAAAAAGGCCTACACGTAAAATATATCGTATCTTTCCCCCAGCGATATGAATGCTGGACGTGTCTCCTTTGGCTAGTTTCCTTCACCTCTAGTCCCTAGAGCCCGCTCCCGGACTGGGGTCGCGGATCCGCTGGGCTGGGGAGGCGCCAGATGCCGAGATGCCCACCCCCCGCTCTACACCCACCTTGGCTCCGCCTCCTCCGCGCTCCTCTGGGGGAGGGTTGCCTCGGGGCCGCGCGCGCTCCTGTTCCTGCGCGCGCGTTCCGGCCTTTCCCCTCCAGTCCCGCTGAGCCCCGGCGCCGCGAGGGGGCGGAGTGGGGTGTGGTGGGCGCGCTCGGGCGGCTCCTGCGCGTTCCCGCCGAGGCAGCGGCGGCGGGAGCGGCAGAGGCGGCGGAGGCTGGAGTCCCGTTGCCGAGTCTCACATCCGGGTTCTGGCCGTGACCCAGCTGCGGCCGCCGCGGAGATGTGACCCGTCAGTACGGCAAATATGGCGGAGGTAAGGGAGCGAGCTCCCCCTCCCCGTCCCGGAGCCGGGCGCCCCCAGGTCCGGGCCGGGGAGGAGTGGAGTGGGCCTGGCTAGGGAGGCCGAGCCCTGCTGGCGCCACTGCCCACCTGTTGTCCGGAACAGGCCGCGCTCTGGGCGGGAGCTTTTCGTGGAACTTAGTTGAGATGGGTTTGTGGGTAGGAGAAGGCGGAGGCGTAGTTGGACTTCGGGGGCACTTTAAAGGGTCGAGGGCAGCGTGGCTGTGCGTAAGGAGAGGGGCAGGAGAGGGGGGCGCCCGCCCCGCGAAGTAGGGGCGTCTGTGGCGCAACTTCGCCGGCCGGTGCTAGGGGCCGGGAGAGGAGCTGCTGCTTCCTCTTGCGAAGTTTCTTCCCTATCTAACCGAGATGCTGTTGCGCCCTACCGCGTCACCCCTGTCTGTTTGCTACTGACATTCCGCCTGTGTTGGGGAAAACGGCCTCTAACTCTAATTTTCTTGATGGTGACCACATGAGCGTGGAGAAATGAACCTGGCTGGTCTTTCGCAATCCATCACTCTAGGATAGGGCAGCCTCCCCATTTCTTCAAACATTCCCCTTTCCCCTCCCGGTAGAACCTCTTTTTCTCTCTTTATATTTCAGAAGAGTTGCTTTCTCCCTTTCTTACCCCCATCACTTTCCGGGCGTTTTACGCCTTTGCGAATCGAGGCTGTCTACTCCTATCTTTCTCTTTGAGTTTTTTCCCCGCTTAGGGAAGATTTCCTCTCCTCCCCCCATCCCCACCGCCCCAGTTTGCTCTTTTTCTCGTAAACGAGTTCCCAAAGCCCCCTTTCTTCGGTGGCGATTGTTTTACATTTGGGGGCCTTAAATCCAAGGGGGCCTTAAACCCCCCTGTTGGGGCAGACAACCTCTGTTGATTAATCTGAATTTAGTATATACTACAGGAGATTAAAATTTTTGCCTCTGATGTAAACCTATTAACATTTGACTTTTTAAAAATACTTTTTTTCTCCCTTACCGTCAGAAGAATTTCGATATCCTTTACTCGCTGGAGTTGAAGAGGTGGTATATTTGGACTTTTATGTCTTCCTTGAGTAGAGCCACTTTAAATGTTGGCAAAGACATTTTTTTCTTCTGAGAATTATCATTTTCATTGTCTCAGGGGCACCTAAAAACAGATTTAGGAAGTAGATAATTATATTTACCCTCCACCCCCTATTTTTGTCTTCATTATTTGTTAAATGAAGCCAATGGTGAGTACACTTTCATCAATACCATAATACTTCCTTTTTAAATCTTGGAATTCAGAAAAATAGATTTTGAAAAAGAATGTTAATTTGGAGACCTGTTCAAGTACCTGTTGAGTGGAGGGACCCAAAGCTTAAGAGTTTTCTGGAGTGGCTCCTAGGGTGCTCCTTCCCCATGGTGTATGGAAACTGATTTTATGTTCTGGAGTATTTGCTATTTAAAAAGAATAGAAGGATTGATTGCTGCCGGTATTTTTAAAATTTTAATATTCTGATATAAAAATAAGCTTAGATCTTAAGATTTACTTCCATTTCTTTTGTTCTTTGTGATTAAAGAATTGTATTCCAAGGAATACGAATTGGACAAAACAGTACTTTGTATTTCACTTAATGTGACTGGATTTATTCCACTGGGCTGAAAGATATTTAGTCCTGATGAGGTTCTTAAGGGCTTGTTTCCTTCGTGTGTATAAGGGGAAGGGATTCTGTGTACCTGGCTTTACATATATTTTGTCAAATAGTCTTCAGTGAATGCCCATTAGGTAAGCAGCGCTGTGTTGTAATAGGTGATGTGGTTTCTTGCCTCGTGGTGCTGCTCAGGATGGTTTGAATTTTAAGTTTTGTAGTCATATTTTTAAAGCAAGATATTACTGAAGGAAAATATCTTAGTGTATGAAAATACAGTGAAATTTAAGTTTAAAAAAAAAACCTTAGAAATTTTAACTACTACCACACTGGAAACAATATGTAAATAAAAGCATTTGAACATTTTATTTCTTTTAGAATTAAAGATTGTATTCATTAGTGATTGAGTCACTGATCATTTAATAATTTCAAGTGGACATTTTAGTTTCCTTAAAAATCGCATCACTTGGAGAATGGAACTTTCATGTTTTGTAGGAACACAGGGATAGTTCAATTTCAAGAAAATTTTAAAAAACCCTGAAATTTGTTTCCAGTGCATTTATTTTAGTGGCCTAGTTATCTTTTAAAAATTAATCTTTCATGTTCTTCAATTACTTGTAGATGGTTTTATTTATAAAGAATTTTGAGGAAGAGTGGAGGAAACTTCTTCATCTCTGTCCCACAGAAAATCTAGAACCAATGAAGTAGTGAAAAGTAAAATGAATTTGTAGTTTTCCTATCTCAATATTAGTAATTAGAATGATTTTAGAGACTAGTCATTTTAAAAATTAGACGAAGGAGAAATGCTTGATTTATAGAGTGCTTTTACTTTTATTTGAACTCCGAAAAGATTTTTTTTTTTATGCTGCCGATATAAAGCATGTGATAAAATAATTCAAATCCCATGCTCTTTGCACTTTTGGTTAGGTCGACCTGAGGACTGACTCTAACCGGTGAAATAACAGTTTAAGTGCAAAGTGACAAAATGTGTTCATTTGATAAATCTGAAGGGAAAACAGGTCACTGAATAACATGTCTCTAGAGAAAAATGTAGGTATTATGCTTCTGGGCTTTTTGTTGTTGTTGTTTCCTGCATAGAGTGACCCTGATCTTGTTTTTCCAAAAAACATTTGATTCTTAAATACTTTTTGCTTTAGAGTGTACAGAATACTAATTTTTCATACTTGATCTGATGATCATCTTAGTCCATAATAAGTATGTCATGCTTATTAAAATTGTAGTAACATTTAAAACATATATAACATATACAGAAGTAATGACATATGCTCCATTTCTTAATACTTTCTGGTAATATTTCTCCCTGCTTATTATCCCCTAAAATTATTAATGAACCTTCCAAAAGGAGGCTCTCCTAGTCACAGTTAAAGGAAATGACAGGGTAGTGGCGGTTGTACAAAAGCAGTAAGAAAGAAAGAACAAGAGGAAAAAATAGTCAGTCCTTTGGGTTTTATAAGGAATGTGGTGGGAACCTTTGGGAATGAACAATTTGTCTTTTATTTCAGAGTTTGTAAACACATAAGCGACTTCTCTTTCAAGGGAAGAGAGATCATAGCATAGTTTAAGACCTGTCTTCACCTAGGCCATATTGTTGTCTCATAAAAAGAAGAAAATTTAATGAATTTGCTATTTGTGTTAGTTCTAAGTACTTTAGTATTGCCAAAAATAATACATCATATTTAGTCACTGTCACATCTATCCATTTCTGTTAAAAACAGACTTCTTGTGTAACATTTTTCAAGGGTATTTGGATTTTGTTTCTTAAGAAAATGGGATCATCTTGAATGCTATTCTTGACAGTGTTAATTTCTACTCTTAAAACAAAACTTGTTTCACCGCAGTGAATTCAGTCCTAAAATAATTATGCCAGTAATGAAAAAAAATTTTTTTTTAGTGTTTATACTTACCCGAGCTGTTAAGGATT